TTTCTTTCTTTCTTTCTTTCTTTCTTTCTTTCTTTCTTTCTTTCTTTGCATTTGAATTCTGTCAGTTTCCATGGACTTTTAAGTGGATTGACTTGGTGGCTTGCATTATTTTTTTACAAAAAAAAACCCAGAGGATAAATAGGTTTTCGGACAGTGGAATATAACTCCTGCCACTCTCTGTAAATAATTCTTTTCAGAAGGATAATAAAGATTATCCCTGAAGAAAAAGAACATTCCCTAAAATGCCACTTCAGTAAATATTTCTGACATGGGCCTCCTATGAAATTCATTAATGTTTGTGGCCAATGAAGCCTTTTCCACAGAGTTCATTTCCATGTTACAAATCATCTTCGAGAATCACCACATTGGACTGATCCAGATCTGTTTTATATTGAAATTGCATTGTATATACCAGTGTTTTGCAAGCTTGCAATTCCAGATGTGTACACTTCAACTCCCAGAATTCAGTGCATTATATGCATTTTATATACAAGGATTAAACTATATGTAATCTTTACCTCTATCTCTCTCTGTCTCTGTCTCTTTCTCCGTGTCTTTCTTTCCTTCCCTCCCTCCCTCTTTCTCTTTCTCTGTCTCTCTCTCTTCCTCTCTCTGTCTCTTTCTGTCTCTCATCTTTCTGTCCACTAAATCTAAATTGCATTGTATGTACCAATGTTTTTCAAGCATGGCCACTTGAAGATATATGGACTTCATCTCCCAGAATTCCCCAGCCAGCCATACACGCATTCAACACATCCATGTAGTCTAATATATTGTCTTGTTTTGCTAATTGGATGTTTTTATTGCAATTTACCCTACTTCCCTATTCTTATTTCATTTGGGGGGCTTTATTTCCCTAGAATGCCTTGCAGTTCATTAAACAATACTGGAAAATGCATGGCCGTCCTTTATTTCTTGTGCTCATCCGAGAGGACAATATAAGGTAAGAGTTCGTCCATAGAAACCTGCACATAAGATTCCCAATGATCGGTCATTTGAAAAGTTTGCAACCATTAAAATCTTGTTGTTTTTTACATCAGGGGAAGTAGATTCAATCCCATACTAGACATGCTTGCCTCCTTTAAGAAAGGTGTGGTTGGTGGAGTGAAGGTTCGTGTTGATCGGCTGCAGGTATAGTTGACTTTTCATTGATGCATAGTATAAATGTAACTGATGCATGGCATGAAATTTCAAGTAATCAGCAATTATGAATATGACCTAGCTCCAAAAACATGACAAACCCTCTGAAGTTAACTCAAAGATTCCTTTAACTGGGAATTTCTGCTACTGGTTCTCCAGAACTAGTCAGAACCTGCTGAATACCACCTCTGGTTCAGTTCCATGCAATCAAGAGGAGATGACAGTGATGACAACTGATCAAATCCAGCTTCTGTTTGAAAATTGTTTGGTTCACCAGTTTTGTGTTTCTTTCCTGTTTTTAAAAATGTTGCTTAAGTCCTTAATAAATAAAGGCTGCCAGGATCTTTGGCATCTTAGATAGACTTCTGGAGCCATTGTGGTATTTTCAACTTGACCTATATACAATTACTTCTCAGATTTAAATAATGCAACATTTTCTTTAGCTAAGGCTTGAGCATTAATTTCCTAAATTACTCTGCTCTTGTATTCTTGGATATCGTCCATTTCATTATAGAAAGAGGAAAAATTGAAATGGCGAGATTATGAAATGCTAATAATGCATTATCTATTAGAGGGAATATATGTTCATGTTCATAATTTACTTGCAGTTTTTGCATTTGTATACAGAGAGTTAGGCTTTTAGACATTAATTCATAGAAGACCTATATAATTTTGCATAAAAATACTTTCCATTTTGGTCGTAAAACTACAGTTTCCAGGCTTGGCTAGAATATTTTTCCCATTTATGGGTTATAATAAAGTTATTACAATTTGCGCTCAGATATACAAGATAAATGGGGAATATAAAGATCAGTATAAAACACGTAAATCAAACTATGACAGGGAGACAGTCTTCCCATTGTGGTTGGATAGCATTCTTGATATATTTTGCTATATAAATGAAAAGTTACTCTAACCTTATCTCTATTAGTTTTGCCTCACCAGTGTGAAACCCTTTTTCATAGAAAAGCTTAACATTGATTCAGTGTAATCTGTTTTCCCCTTAGAGATATATTTGAATATTCAAAGGATTAATAGCAGATAATATGTACACCTGATAAAATATTAATAAGAAAAAGTGCAACTTTGTTCTCCAGCAAAGCATAAATATTTGGGTAGGAAATTGAATTGGATGGTTGGAGGAAGAGATAGAAACATAATCCTTCTTTCTCCCTGCCTTAAAATCCTGGACAAAAAAAGGGCAAAAAAGAAACATACTTTACCATCTGAACTAATAGTTGCTTAGAATAAAAAAACAAACAACAAAAGTATTTTTCTTGCCGTATCTGGAAGCTAACCTTAATTTCTGAAGATCTTCTGCTTTTATCTATGTATCACTAAAATTATTGTGTCTGTAACCTTCAATTGAAAGAAAATGCGCCACAGATTTTAATGACGCTCGATTGGTACAATCTGTTAAAATGGACTTGGCTGCAACATGTATGAACAATAGCAAGCAGGGTCTATTAGTATTTATTGATCTCCTAAATCCAGGCAGCAGATATTGTAAAATATTCAAATCTCTCTCTCTCTCTTTGTCTTTGTCTCTGTCTCTTCCTCTGTCTCTCTCACACACACACAAACACACACACACACCACTGCCTCCCTCTGTTTGTTTCTCTCTAGTACTTGGCTGATTATTCCATCCATCCATCCATCCATCCATCTATTCACGCTTGTGTTTCCCAAAGCAGTTTGTGGTGTTATTATGCATTATTACAGCAAACTATGGATTTCCCATATTTTCTACTAAGTGCTCCTTTTGTCTTCCATTCCTCTTCTCTATTTCAGACATTAATCTCTGGAGCAGTGGTTGAACAATTGGATTTCTTAAGAATTGGTGACACAGAGGAGTAAGTATATCCAAAATTATAGTAAAACCATAGCTTCATCCATCTCTGATGGCCTTTCTAGATCATTTGTCTTAGCTGAGCATCGTGTTAAGAAAGGTAGATCGTGAAAGCATCCGTTAGATTTTTTTTTTTTCAGGTTTTGAAATATTCTTTCTGCAGGCCTCCGGAATTTAAGAGTTTTGAAGAACTGGAGCTTCCAAAGCATTCAAAAGTCAAGAGGCAAACCAGCACGCCAAACGCAACGGAGTTGGAACAGCAGCCAGATATTAATCATAACGACTGGAAAAACAAGCCAATTCATGAGATTCTTCAGAAACTGAATGTGAGTTTCTAAATTCTTGATCTGTGCTGCCTAAGGAAGAAAGTCACAATGGCAATCGTGAATTGTTTCCACGAGGTCTCCCTTTTCTCCTTTTTCAAAATAGGTCAAACACACCAAAGCATGGGCATCTGCAGTAGTGGGCAGGTAATGACAAAATGTGGCAATACTGTGACACCATTCCCTGCGTTAGGCATCAGGACACAAGTACATAACGGCAGCGTTTGCCCAGTGTTCTTTGGTTGTTGCATGCCTGTTGGCATTTTGGTCTGCCATAAATATTGCAGCACTGTTCTGACCCAGCTCCCCAAATATGACAAACCCCTCGGGAGTTAACTCAAAGATTCTTTTAATTAGGAGCACCGACAGCCCCAGCAAAAGGTTTCTCTCTCACCACAGGCTAACAAGTCCATTGGCTGGAAGACGAACAGTTGTCTACCATATCTATTCATCTTCACCGCCTGCCTTTTATCCCCAGAGTCAGGGTGGGGCTTCACTAGCAGCGGTGGCTCTTCTGTCCCAAAGACCAGCCCATAGATTTCCACTGCTCTCCTCTCCTTTCTGTGCATCAGTGTGTCAGGCACTGGACCCAGCTGTTCCTCCTCTTCCTCGTCAGGCACTTCCAGACCTGGGAGCTGTTGACTCTCCATCTGAGGGCTGACGGATGACCCAGGCTCTACCTCTCTCTCTCTCTCTCTCTCTCTGTGTGTGTGTGTCTGTCTCTGTCTCTCTCTCTGACAGCTCCATTCTCTCTTCCCCCTTGGAGCTCTCAGGTTGCCTTGATGCTGACCCTAACTCTCATGCCTCCTCCTCTTCTTCCTCTGATTTGGCTGCTGGAGGGGTTGGCGGCCGATAGCCCACAACAAGCACCAAGGATGACAATAATTTGGAATTCTCTAGATATTACAAGCCGGCAAAAATATTTCACCAAGGAGAGTAGTTTCAGAAACAGATTTCACTTTGCCGAGTCAGTAATCCATCAATAATCACGCCTTCTGTTTCCCCATGGAAATCTGCCTGTGATTTGGGTTAAAAAACACAGCATTCCAACATGGAGAGTTGGAGTTTTATAGGAGGCTGCAGAGGAAGTCAAGAAGAAAAAGAACCTTTAAGCAACCCATCAGCTCTCACCTCATTTTACCCACCTTGGAAGGCTGGAAGGCTGAGTCAACCTTGAGCCTAGTGAGATTCAAACTGCCAAATTGCAGTCGGCCGGCAGTCAGCAGAAGTAGCCTGCAGTACTGCATTATAACCACTGCGCCACCGCGGCTCTTAAACAGAAGACTCCCAGCAGTGTCCGGCCCATAGCTCCAAGAAACAGCAGAGTTTGTTCTGTAAAACCTTAGGAGAATCCCACATGTCTCTACTAACCTTTTACAACTTGATGATTATTTCTCCACAGGACTGCAGCTGCGTGGCAACCCAGATCATTCTGCTGAGCATTTTGCTCAAAAGGGAAGGCCCCAATTTTATCACCAAGGAAGGTAGGTTGACAGGAGCCTCTTTTAGCCGATCGGTTAGCGGAACATGAATAGCGAACATGCAGCGCATAAGCGATGTCGCTATCTTACTCAGAGAATGCATGCCAGAAAGTGGAAGGAGCTGTTTCTCACATGAACTCTTTTAAAATCCAGTTAGTCCTCGACTTAATGACCCCAATTGGGATGAGAATTTCCATCGCTAATGGATCCTTTTGTTAAAGCAAGTTGCACTCAGTTTTACAAACCCTCTTCGCCATGGAACCACATGTGTGTTAATCAAATCCTGCTTCCCCCGTTGAATTTTCTTGTTAGAAGCAAGCAGCAGTGTGCAGCAGCAGCCAACAAAGCCAATGTAATCCTAAATTGCATTAACAGAGGGATACAATCAAGATCAAGTAATACCACCATATAAAGCCTTAATAAGACCACACCTAGAATACTGTATCCAATTTTGTTCACCACACTATAAAAAAGATGTTGAGACTTTAGAAAAAGTACCGAGAAGAGCAACCAGGATAATTTGGGGACTGGAGGCTAAAACATACGAAGAATGGTTGCAGGAACTGGGCATGGCTAGTCTAGTGAAGAGAAGGACCAGGGGAGACAGGATAGCAGCTCTTCCAATATTGGAGGGGCTGCCACAGAGAGGAGGGGGTCAAGCTATTTTCCAAGACACCTGAAGGCCAGGCAAGAAATAATAATAGATGGAAACTGATCCAGGAGAGATTCAACCTGGAAATAAGGAGAGATTTTCTGACAGTGAGAACAATCAACCCACGGACCAGAAGTTGCCTTTGGAAGTTGAGGGAGCTTCATCACTAGAGGCTTTCAAGAAGAGATTGGACTGCCATTTGTCAGAAATGGTGTAGGGTCTCTTGCTTGGGCGGGGCACGGTTGGATAACCTACAAGGTCCCTTCCAACTCTGTTAATCTATTTAAAAAGCTGGCTGGGAAGGTTGTAGATGGCAATTCCATGATCCTGAGCCTCTGCAACCCTCCAAAATAAATGCCCCTTGCCACGAGCCCAAATCACCATCACATTACCGTGCAGATTCTGTGACAGTTGTAAATGTAAAGACTGGTGTCATAAGTCACTTTTTTCCAAGCCCATGGTAACTTCAGACAGCCACTAAGCGAATGGTCCTAAGTCAAGGAATTCCCGTAGCTTGTGTGCTCTTGGTGGATGATTTCAAGTTCCATATAAACCGTTGGAGGAAGCCAAGGCCGCCTGCTAAGATGAAGCGGAAAGAAGAGTTGTGTTCTCTTTCAGGTTTTGCCATGTATCTTACCTGGCATGTTACATTTAGTGTCGTAGCACACCTGTTACAGGTAATCCTTGACTCACGATTGAGCCCCAAATCTAGGTTGGTAAGTGGGACGTTAAGTAAGTTCCGCCCCCCACTTTTCTCACCACATTTCTTAAGTGAATCACTGCGGTTGTTAAATTAGTCCCACCGTTGTTAAGTGGATTTGGCTTCCCCATTGACTTTGCTTGTCATGTGACCCTGGGACACTGTGACGGTCATAAATATGAACCAGTTGTCAAGCCTCTGAATGTAAATCACGACCATGGAGATGATACAATGGTTATAAGTGTGAAAAATGGTCATAAATCTCATTTTTCAGTGCCGTTGTAACTTTAATGAACCGTTGTAAGTCGAGGACTACCTGTGCATAAAAGAGTGATTTAATAGAGTAGGGTAATACTCCCAATTGGTTTGTTACAGCCCCATCCATTTAAAGATACGTCCCTTGGCCTTTTCAAATGTCCAAAGGCTTTTATTTTAAATGCATTCTAAGAAAAAAACCATCCTCAATTTTCCTAATGAAGGCATCAATCCTTATGCCACCAAAACGTCCTTATCAAACTGTGCACCTTCGTCAGTTCGTGTATCCCATTTACTTTGTTTTATTCCTACTTCAAAGCCTGGTTTGTGTATTCTGATTCTAATTTTGGAACAACTGGGTCTCCTCCCATCGTAGTGGTGTAAGAATGGACTTATTTATTGTTTTGTTGTTCTGAGCATTACATAATAAATAATGAATCTCGAAAGAAGGATTATAGCCAAAACGGTGATTCATAGCATTTCAATAATTCTTCATAGCTCTTTGCTCCTGTTTGGAGCTAATCTACCAAATTCCACCCTCATGGTCCTGTTTTTTTTGTTTTTTATTTTTTTTAAAAAAAAAAGCAATACAAAGAAGAGTTTAGGAGGACCCAGCTAACACATAAAGTACAAAGCAGCCACAAAACAACATTTATTTACAACCTCAGTATAACATTTTAATCCTGGAATGGTAGTTATTCAGCTGGAATCAAATTATGTAAGTGCAGGCTAGTTTATATTCTGTCAGGGTAGCGTTGCAGGTTACAATTGCTGAAGAAGAAACAGGGGACAACTGTTGATTTCTGCCAGACACCTGAAACGTTGAAATAAAATATCTATACGTGCTTAAATATTTGCATAAACCTGTACTGAAAAGCATGGCCCATTTGCAGTTTCCCGCAGCAGGACCGGCTGGTAATGCTGCTGTTAACCTTTGCAATAAGATAAGCGGATAAAGCAGAATCTCGTAAACGCAACAACTGCAATGAAATCATACCGTTTCCTTCTGTTTTTTTTTTTGTCTTTTCCCTTTTATGTACAAATTAGGTACTGTCTCTGATCATATCGAAAGAATCTACCGAAAAGCTGGCAGCAAAAAGTTCTGGTTTGTATCCAATACTTTCCAATTTCATGTTTTTTTTTGTTTTCAATAGCAGATCTATGCTGATTTTTTCCAGTTTGAGTTGATATACATCTACTGATTTTGCAAAAAAAGACGACCGCTGAAATTCAGAATCATATATCTCAGTGTGCCATGATTGGCTATATAAATCGGTTATGCTTAATTTATAAAAAAAAAAGGAAGGAGGGACCTCTTAGCTGTACATGTCTGTGGAGATTCTCAGTGATCCAGATCATGGTTGTCCCAAAGGTGCTTTTTTTTTCAAGAGGTAACTGGACTTTCTGGTTTTTCTTTGAAGACGGTTTGCTTCTCATCCAAGAAGCTTCTTCAGCTCTGATGGAATAGTAAGGAATGGACGGATTTATATTCCTTGCAGAATGTTCATGACCGCTAATGACTGCAAGGAATATAAATCCTTCTATTTTCCACCATTCAGTCAGAACGGAAGAGGCTTCTTGGATGAGAAGTGAAATGACTTGAAGGAGTCCGAGGATCTTGAGGGATCTTCTCATCCCTCAAACAGTAGGCGGAAAAAAATAAACTACCAGCGAATCCTATAGTAGAGGATTTTATCATTGTACAAGTGGTATTGAGGCGCTTGTTGGTCTGGAAGACACACCAAATATTCAAAACCAACAGGTAGCGAGAAAACCACATGACTTACCACGCGATCCGCTATTTCATCCAGAAGAGATAGCGAGTCTGGAGGCAGCCAAGTTCTTCCTTGCATGTTGACTGCCGGGAGAAGGATGAGCACTGGGATAAGATTTCTGCTTCAAAATCTTCAAATCCCGAAATTCAACGAGTTTTGAAAGCAGTTGAGTGCTAAGTATGACTCTATAGGTAAAGGTTCCTCTCGCACATACGTGCTAGTCGTTTCCAGCTCTAGGGAGCGGTGCTCATTTCCGTTTCAAAGCCAAAGAGCCAGCGCTGTCTGAAGATGTCTCCGTGGTCATGTGGCCGGCATGATGAAACACCGAAGTCGCACGGAACTCTGTTCCTTTCCCACCAAATTGCTCCCTATTTTTCTACTTGCATTTTTACATGCTTTGGAACTGCTAGGTTGGCAGAAGCTGGGACAAATAACGGGAGCTCACTCCCGTTACGCGGCGCTAGGGATTCGAACCTCCGAACGGCCGACCTTTCTGATCGACAAGCTCAGCGCCTTAGCCACTGAGCCACCACGTCCCCCTTGACTATATAGCTGAAGATATACTGTAGAACTCATTTTGACAATCCAAAGAGTCCTTCCAATGTTTGATTCCCAATGAGCAGCTCTCATCCCCTGCAGAAAACAAACAAACTAGTGTTCAGAATGCGTGGGCTACTGAGAGGATTTTATTTAGAGTAGGCGTGGAGAGCATCGTCCATCGAACTCCTCTGTTGTGTATCAAATCCAGGTTGGTGCTCCGTTGCAGCGCGGCATGCATTCAGAAATTTGCTGCCTCTTTAGCTCCCCATATTACAACTTTGATAGTCCATGGGAAACAGGTAAAGTGTGCCCAGGTTTGAAACGGTTCTGCTTGAGATGTATGGCTGATTTTGCATTTTGCCGGTATCTGTCCATGGTGTTTTGCCAAAAAGAGAGAAAGAGCGGGGGGAAGCTTTGCACTTGATTTTGAAGAGTGTGTGCATCCCATTGTCATCAAACTCAAAATCAGTTTGGCTGATGGATTTTGTGCTAACTTAGCAGACTATTGCACACTCATTCATTAATTCTGATATGTGATTGTTCCACTTCCGACGCCTGTGTTAGACAATGTGGAGTATCCAGTCCTTTGTTTTCTAGAGTAATATCTGTATTAATAACCAATCACTTTCAAAAACTTTGGTCTGTTTTTAGTCTTAGCATTTTATGTCCTCTCATTTTCTTGTAAGTGCATTCGCACACAAACACACACACAAACACACACACAAGCACACACGGGGAAGCAGAAAGAGAATCCTTCAACTGCCATTTTTGCTAAGATTAGTTGTCCTTGTTGGATCTTTTGTATAAAAATTGTGCATTATTTCCTATAAAGTAGTCAGGAAGACAAACAAACCACCAGCTTTTTTTGGGGAGCAGTGCCATCCTCCAAATTTTGGAGTGTCTTTAAGAAGAAGCTGGAAAAACAAAGAATAATTTCTGAATTCCTTTTTTTTTTCATATTAAACAGTAAAGCTCCTTTGATAACAAAAATGAATCATTATCTTCATTTAATGACCCCATAATCCCTTGCGAGGTAGAGTTTGGGCAACTGAATGGAGCTAGTAGAGTGTGTTTATGGCCGGATGCCCTTCCTGTCACCAGTGCGGAGTTTTATCCAGGAGATATATTCTCAGTGTGCCCAGAGAGAGAAATATCTGCCTCTACCTAGGATCAAACACAGTGTGTGTGTTTGATACACAAAAATAAATGCTCCTCATAAATTCGCAAATATAAGAAAAGGTGGGGACAATATGCACATAGGATATTTTTTTCTTTTCTGCTCTTCTCTTCTGTTCTTTCCTTCTTCCCAAATTTTGCCTCCAGTTGCACCTCCAAAAAGATCTAACATTGAAGGAAAATGAGATCACGAAGACAGAAAAAATAAAATAGTCCTGCCATTTTCTAAATTATGTCCTTCTTTATTTCACTCAAGCATTCTCTTCCTGATGTCTAAGCTGTGTAATTCAGGAACAGATGGAGAGATGAATGAATGGGTAATCTAGATACTCTGCTAGCAAAAGCTCATTTTGTTCATTCTAAGAAGAAAAGATTATCCACCCTCATTTAATATGGCCACGATATTTTAGGCGTTTGCATTGATCAAATAATTGTCTAGTCACTTGAAATGTTCATCGTGTGTCAGCTGCCTCTCTGAACCTATCTTTTAATTCCTTATTTATCGGAAAGTAAACTTGTATGTGATGATCTCATTGCCATCTGTGTCCATCATTTAATCTTTTGGCGATCGGCTGAAAGAGGCTGTTGAAAATTATTGACTGCTTAGGAAGAGAGGGATACTCAACGTTTTTGTTTTTTTCAGGACTAGAATTTTGTCAACAGGTGCTAAATAACTTCCATGAGTTTTTTTTTTCCCTTTCCCGTCCAACAGAAAACCACGTGACTCCTGCTTTCTCGGGGGTTTTCTTGAGAAAGTGAAAGCCTTTGGTTTCCCTTTCATAAATGAAAGAGTGCAATTCGATGGGAAATCAGATTCTGGCCATTCAAAAGGTTCTCCTATGAGATTTTATTTTATTTTTTTAAATGCACATTGCCAGGGAAATCTACAGTTCATAAAATAACGGCTACTTACACGATGCCAATCTCGCCTTGATATCAAGAAGGAACCGCGTTTTCTTATCACTTATGCAGTTTAATGAACGTTACTCCAATTCAAACCTTAGCATCCTTGCTTCCATAATGGAATTGGTTTAGCTGTGGCTCACCATTCTATAAAGAGGTATCTTGGGTCCTAAATACCATAGACACAGATAGAAACGGTTGATCATTTGGCCGAGGGGAGCAAGAAAATCTCCGTCAAAATTCTTGAATCCCATTAAACTAGCATTTCATTTCCAGCTGGATTGCTTTGTTTTCTACCCTCAGGTCTGTTGTGCGCTTCGCAGCAAGCCTTTTATGTAAGCTAGTGGACAGCCTTGCCCCATCTATTACTAATGTTTTAGTTCAGGGCAAGCAGGTAAGTCTACATTTTTCAGATTACATTCATCAGCTAAATTTAATAAGTAAAATAAAATGAAGGTCCAGCCCCAGGGAATTGGTGCTCTGGTTATACAGTTTCCCAACCCTTTTTAAAGGGTACAGACTCCGCTGAGTTTATTTACAAATGGGGAGAGGGGGGGGGGATGTCAGTTGATTTGGGCAAAGGTTGTCCCCTGAAATTTGGCAACTGTTCTGAGCTGAGACCGTAATTAAGCACACGCTTAGTTAAAACCGATCTCGTTTTATTTCAGCGCTGGGAATTATGTTCATTCCCAGCCAGGAATGAGTCCCAAACAGTCCCTTGAGATAAGCACCCACCTTTCTCTCCTTTGAATTGCTGCCAACAACTAAAGTGCCAAATGAACTATAAATAACCAATCAAAGAACAAGCCCACACAGGGCTTCAAGGATTAATCCAAACAGAACGAATGACTTTGCCTCCTGCAAAGGTTTCTTTGCCTTTGCATGTCCTTTATACCTTAGGGGAGGGGCAATCACCTCCAAAGCTTACTCCCGAGTCACCCCCTTCTGCTTCAGCTGCTCTCACCTTCTAGCAGCTCTGTGCACACACGCATTGGGAACAGGCTCCCCTGGTTCCTCTGCCTTGCTGCTGCCAGACTCCGGAGGCTCCAGAGGCAGCACCCCACTCCCAGATGGTCCTGGCCCCATCTCTGCATCAGACACAGGACCCTCATCCGCGTCCTCTCCAGACTCCTGGACTGATCTCCTTTCATCCCCACTGTCTGATTCCGCTGCCGTCTGCACAGGCTGCCGGCGAACCACAACAGTAACCCCTTAAGCACTTCTTACCAAATTTAGGCAAGGTAACGGCTTTTGAGACCCATGTTGCATTTGCTTTTTATGTTTTTTTTAAAATAAAAATATATGGCCAGTTCTGGCCCCATTGTAGACTTACTGCAGTTTTATAGAGGATTTTTCCATTACGAATATGCAGTCATTTTTGATAGCCCATTCTGGCCTAGCATGATTTGGCACTTTCTGTTGTCCTTTGCTTTTGGCTGTTAGTGTCCTGTCCATCCAGCGTGTCTTCTGTTTGAATCAAAGAGCCCGTAAGGATGTAATGCTGCCTGTCCCATCACGGTTGTCCAGGAAACAAATTATTTCCCTATTTGCGTTCCGTTCCCTCGGAGAGGCGAAGACTTACCGTGGTGAACGGCCATAATCGATTAACCCTATCTAAAACTAGATTGGTGATGGCCCCAACTACTTGGAGGCCACTCGGTAAGAATTTGGAACCTCCTGAAGTCTTTTCATCCTTCCAAGCGGGACAGACAGCATTATGATTGCAGTGTCATCGAAAGCATGTGAAGAACATTACTAGGACATGCAATTCCTTGCTCGTAGTGGGGACTAGAAAATGTGATTCCTTGCTCGTAGTTGGGACTGTTGCTGCATTAAAATTTAGAACAGAAAATAATATGAAGGGCGGGGCGTAGTCAGTAAGTACTCGAACGTAGAAGCACTTGGATGTATTCCTGCATTCCCCTGGCATGATCTAAATTGATATCCTACAGTAGGCGTGAGCTTAAATGGACTCTGGAGGATGGTAGAGGACAGGAAGGCCTGGAGGAATGTTGTCCGTGAGGGTTGTGATGGGTCGGACACGACTTTGCAGCTAACAACAAAGTCAACGGTTTCTATTTTTCATCCCCTGCTCCTTCCTTCTTAGATTGGAAAGGAACTGAGAACTAGCTGAAGTAGAGGGTTGAGTTAGTCCTTGGTAGTTTGGCAGTCTAGAAAGCCCCTTTCAAATCTGGCAACTCTGTGAGCTACGAGGTCTGTGAGAACTACTCTTGGCCCTGAGGAAAGACCACGAACCCCCTTCAGAGAAGGGACCAGGATAATTTATATATTATTATGCCTGGCAAGTTTTAATCGTGTGACATAAAGAGGAGAGATCAACCTTTTTCGGAACATATGCAATCCCATGTCATTACTGTGCCCTTAGGGAACAAGTTCATTTTTTTAAAAAAAGATGCTCCTTTAATAGAAAATAATAGAGATGTGCAAATCACCCTTTCCCCCATCAGCAATGATTTTAACTCCCCATTCTATGTACGACCCTTTTATCCAACGTCGTTGGAAAGCAGGAGATTTAAGTCAAGGAGATGTAATGAATAAGGACTCCCTCTCTGCTTCCCTGGTTCAGGTTGTACCTCTAATTACTGCTAATATATTCCTTTAGGTGACACTTGGGGCATTTGGCCAAGAGGAAGAAATTATATCTAATCCCTTGTCTCCGGGCGCAATTAAAGACATCATCTACAACAAGTGCAATTTGCAGGACGAGAGGGAAGCTGTTCTTCAACAAGAACTTGTCATTCATATCGGCTGGATCATCTCCAACTCCCCCGAGTTATTTAACGGCATGCTAAAGATACGTGTGGGGTTAGTAAATCACTCTCTTAACCTGTTCTAGTGATGTCTGTGAATCCTTTTATCCCACGTGCACAAATTGAGATGCCAGGCTGACGCGTGTCTCCTGAAAACGCTTGGAGAGAACTTGATAGAGTCTTTCCAAGTTTTACCGCTAAGTGTTAAATATGAATAGAAATAGTCTGAGGAAATTTGAAAATGGAAATGTTCCATCAGAGCTGTGATGGCTTAAAGCTTAAGAAGCTGAGCTAGAAAGTGGACAGCTCGGGTTGAGGACCTGAGGCCTGCACGAGGGGGCGAGTTCCCATCCTTGCCTCAGCTCTTGCCCACCTAGCAGTTTGGAAGCAATAGCAATAACACTTAGACTTGTATACCGCTTTACAGTGCCCGCTCTAAGCAGTTAACAGAGTCAGCATATTGCCTCAACAATTTTGGGTCCTCATTTTACCCACCTTGGGAGGATGGAAAAAGGGCTCTGAACCTGTTTTCCCACCCCTAACTACTGAGAGCTAGAAGGCTGCTGAGGATCATGTGTTCCTGTGATGACCCAGGGAGTGGCACAAAGCCAACACTGTCAGATAATCAGTAGGAATCCCTTTATTAGCTCCAATTTTGCCCCCCACAATGTCCTGGTTACCTTCTGGCCAGAGAAAATACTCTCCCAGGAACAGCCTTTGGCTGCAGAGAATCAAGTCCAAAACATGGTCAACAAAAACTGTAACTATAAATCCAATCAAGGAAAAATGAGGTAATTAGGGCAGGAGTAAGAATTCCAGGCGTGAAGGCACAGCAATAACTCAGCACGGTTGGGAAGACGCCAAGAACACAGATAAGCAAAGTCAATACAAGATAAACTCACGTTTGCTCCCAGCAGCTGCTGCACTCAGCATGTGTCTCTTTTAAACTCTCTTCCCAGGTGTGCCTAATGAAGGGAATCAGGGCCCTTTCCTCCCCCACAAGCCATGCAACCCATGTTGCTCTCTTCTCTGTTCCTCCCTGCATGCCCTAGGATGAAGAGGGGGTGGGCCTGAGTCTTCCTCTGAACTCCCTCTCCCTTGTTCTACCTCTTCCTGCTCTGCCCAGCCGGACTTTGCCCTTCCCCAATTTCCTCCACATCCAACTCCCTGTCAGCTATTCGTCTTCCTTCTCGGATTCAGATTCTGACAGGGACGTGACAGTTCCCTTTTTATATCTGCATTCATCTTTTAGTCTACAGTAGTTGCCATGTTAGTTGTAATTAGAAATGGAATTTTCCACTTCACACAGAAGCCATAGTTCACAATTCATTTAAGGCGAGGCCTCTGCAGTTTAGGGTGCTTCCCCTTTGATGCCAGTCAGTAGTGTGTTTGTAGATTGCAATTTTACTCCTTTAGCTTCTCACAAGTTCAGGCTTAGTAGGTATATCTGACAGCTACACCTGCACTACCATTTCAGCATAGAAGTGAGAGGTGATAGGTATGGTGTGAGCTCCTCAGTTACAGCTTTACAAGTGGCCTTTATATGATTCTAAACAAACCTTTAAAATGAAGTTCATTTTTTTTTAAAGCTTTACGACGCTATATCTTCTGCTTGATAGTTAATTTACCTTCCCACGCTAAATTTAAATCTGGTTCCAGGTGCCTCTTGCGAATTTTTCCCTTGAAATTCTTTAAACCATAATACCATACAATCAATTTATGCTCACCTCTCTCCATAAATAATCCAACCCCCAAACACCACTTTCATTATTTGTCCTAGATGAAAAATACCAACCTTTCCCACTTAAACCGGATATAAAGAACTGTGAATTTACCTGCAGCAGTAAAATGGGGTGACAGACATTCATACTCCTAATTTAAATCCATCTTTAAAATCTTTTTTTACATGAACGTACTCATTAAATCAAATCTTTTCGTTTTACTTGGCTGCTGTATTGCTAAAAATAGCGTGCCTTGTCTGCCAGAAAGCCAAGAGTATTTTTGCTTGGTTGGAACTAGGTTTTCATTCATGATTAAAAGCCCTAGTGTACCAGTGTGCCGAAACTAGGTAAGATAATCAGGACTAGCACTGGTGACGTTACCTAGTTAGGTAATGAAACGTCTGCAAGAAAACAACCAAGCTCAGAGATCACCAAGCACTCCTCATTTCAATCCTCAGCTACCCCTATTCTCCTTTATTCGTCCTCTTTTAACAGCCTCATAATCCCTTGCAGGGTGTGGAGTCTGAGCAACTGAATGGAGTTGAGTGTTTACTGGACGGATGCCTTTCCTGTCACCAATGCGGAGTTCTTTTTCAGCAGATATATTCTCAGTGTGTCCAGAGAGAGGAATATCTGCCTCTACCTAGGATCAAACTCACAGCCTCTTGGCCACCACACCACTCCATATTCTTCTTTATTGGCACTATTAAATCTCAGGGTGTACTGAGCTTGAAATATTTCTACCAATTATGAAACGGGATTGTTATCGTTTATATTTGTCGATGGAGATTCTCAGTCACTCAGGTCACGGTTGTCCCAAGGGTACTTTTTCAAAAGGCAACTGGACTTTCTTTTTCTTCCCCTTGAAAACGTTTCACTTCTCATCCAAGAAGCTTCTTCGGTTCTGAACTGAGCTGACGAAGCTTCTTGGATGAGAAGCGAAACGGCTTCAAGGAAAAATCAAAGCCCAGTTGCCTTTTGAAAAAAGCACCTTTGAGATGATCATTATTCGGTCACTATATCCCACGTGATTCGGGGTTGAAACTGCAATTATGTTGTGGACAGTTTTGTTTCTTAAAGGGAGAAATAGCAAATCATAACTCAGTGCCTGAATGAGTATTATTTTTTTTTCCATTACTTGACCCCGAGTAGTTGTTTGAACATGAATTAATAATGCGTCAACACCGTTTCAGTCATGCATGTTGGACAGAGATAGTTGAAGGGTATTCTGGGCTTCCTTTTTTATAACCACAGATAACTCCTGCTTCGATACTAAGAGGTCTCCTTGGAGATGCCCACATGAACAGGTTGAAGCGGGGAAAAGTGGGAGTTTGGATAAGTCAGGTGACTGGTAATCAAATCCATGGAGCTTTATGTCCTGATAAATAGGTTTCAAAATTCCTTTCCAACCAGAGGAACAAATGGCAACTTAAAGAAGAGGAAATTTATTACCCAATAAGCTTTTATGGACTAGCATCCATCAGGGGATGAAATATTAGCCTTCTTTTCTGTCAACACGCCTTACTCTTTCTCCCCTGTGCTCACCCTGCAGAGGCTCAAGCCATAATCTTTTTCTTCTTTGAAGTCATTATTTCTGCCATGATCAAATACAGGCCCTTTCTCTGGAAATGATTTCCTTGCACGGGCCTGTCCCCGAAGACAGAAGGAGTTAGTTCTTTCTGAAAGAGCATTTACCTGTCTATTCAAGGGAACTTTTTCCTCCTCCGCATGTCATTTAATTGCTATTAAGAGATAAACCTTTTCCTTTTTTACAAGCTGCTTTAAAAGCTGCGGTTAGACATCAAATGCTTGCTTGGGTGTTAATGAGGAACGGATGGCACTGGGGATATGGGAATTGCTTGGTTGACAGGCCCAAAACATAGCTCTATGTCCCTTTACTTCCGCTCTTTCCATACTTGACAGCTTGTTAATGGGGCTCTTGAGAAGTCCTGGGGCTGGCTTGGGATGCCCCTGTTTAAAAGGACCATCTAAATATGTGGATAAAACATCAATTTTTATCTTCACGCTTAAACCCTGAACATCAATGGATTGATCTTAAGAGTATGTGAATGAAAACTCAACCATCCAGGCCAGAGGTATCTAAAAAAGGTTAAAATCGTGGCAACTGGACCAACATTTATTAAACAGAGACGTTTCGTTACTCCTCCGAGTACATATTACGTTGCATATTGTATTTACATACTGCATTTCATTTTGGGGAGAAATCCCTTTGCAGTTGCTATGCCATAGGTTAGTCTCTGCCTAACCAAATATACATTTTGAAGTAACTGAAGAAGTTGATGAGTATTGAAATTCCTCCGTTGAATAAATTTTGGTCTAGTTGCCATGATTTTAACCTTTTTTTTTTTTTTTAGATCGATTGGGGAGATTTTCAGCCATCATTCTGCCTTACCTTGAGCATCTCTTCTCCATGGTTGCCCCCCCCCCCCCCACCCCCCCCCGTTTCACCTTGCATATTTTACAACATCTTCAATAAACAAAATTCCTGGGCAATAGCTGGAAAAAGAAGCCAGCTGCCCCTGATTAAGATCACCCTTAATTGCCTTTTAAGTTAATGCACATTATTGCAAATTAATTTGGAGATATTAAAGAGTCTCTGATACCATCCTTTTATTAAAATATATAGGCCTGAGATATGCCTGGATGAATGAACAGGAGGTGAGTCCTGTTAGATACGATGTTAAGGACTATGGCAGAACTGCTAATAAGAAGCACTGAGGCAAAGGAATTAGAACAGTGTCCTGAGAAGCAGGTGTTTAATTCATGAAATTTTATTGTGCTCCCAAAATTGCATTTCATTGTTTTAACTTTTATGATTTGGTCTTGAACTGAAATAAAATTGTTCGTTTCTCTGTTTGAGGGATCTCCTTTTGTATAAAGAGAGCTTTTTGCCCTTGTTACTAGTTGAAAGATGCAATCATCGTGACTAGTAACCACGAGTAAACCTTATTTTGCATGAATTCAGGTAACCCAATATCTTGTAGCAACGATTTCACAACCTTGCATTTCCCTTCTTTCGGATTCTTTGGATGTTATCCATCAACATTGGAGTCGGGGGTGGTGGGGAAATGGGAGGATAATGTTTAATGTTTAATTATCATAAAGGATAAAACGGCTGGACTCATTGGGTACAAGATGGGCGGCAAAGAAATCTGATGAATAAGTAAATAAAATACAGAATAAATATAACAGAATAACAGAGTTTATGAAGGGACCTTGGAGGTCTTCTAATCAAACTCCTGCCCTATACTATTTCAGACAAATGGGTGTTGTATCTCTTCTTAAAAATTTCCAGTGGAGGCAAGTTGTTCCACTGATTAATTGTTCTAATGGTCAGGAAATTCCTCCTTAGTTCCAGGTTGCTTCTCTCCTTGATTAGTTTCCACCCATTTCTTCTTGTCCTTCCTTCAGGTGCCTTGGAGAATAGCTTGACTCCCTCTTCTTTGGGGCAGCCCCTGAGATATCGGAACGCTGCTATCATGTCTCCCCTAGTCTTTCTTTTCACTAGTCTAGACATACCCTGTTCCTGCAACCGTTCTTTATATGTTTTATATAAAATCAGGCTGAACAAAGGAACAAGTCAGGCCTTTCTTAAGTCACCTCCCAAATTTAAACTGTGTTTTGTTTTTTTTCATCAAGTTTTGTTATCTGTAAGTTAGATTTCCCCCCCCTCTTTGTTCCAAATAGTAACTGCAAATGGTATTTTGGGGTTGAAAATGTTTGTGGGTTGTTTTGGAAGGAGGAGATGAGAAAATCTCATTTGTACGCTGCCTTCCATGACACGTACATCCAGATCTGTAAGTCCATAACTGCCAACTAGTATCCTACTCTGACCCTGTCACTCAGTTTCAGATATGTGATGTCCTCAAGATTTCCTTAAGTGTCATTTTTTGTTACTTCAGAAGAAGAAGCCTTTAGCAGCCTAGGTCTCTGTCAGCCAGAATGTTTGCATCTGCCCAAATCCGTTAAGCTGTCCCTTGCCTCCCCACCCCACTCCAAAGATGCAATCCTGTATTTTTGCATCAACACAACTCGGTGTGGGTATGGAGGAGAATTTTAAAACATGTAATGAAGGATTAGAGCTGTTTCTTTTCTCTCCTCTCTGTCTCTGTGTCTCCCCCACCCTCTCTCTCTGTCTCTGTCTCTGCCTCTCTCTGTCACTCTCTCCCCCCTCTCTCTCTGCCTCTGTCTCTCTCTCTCTCTTCCCCCACCCTTTCTCTGTCTCTGTCTCTGCCTCTCTCTCTGTCTCTTCCCCATCCTCTCTCTGTCTCTCTCTCTTTATCTCCCCCACCCTCTCTCTCTGTCTCTGTCTCTGCCTCTCTCTCTGTCTCTTCCCCATCCTCTCTCTGTCTCTCTCTCTTTCTCTCCCCCACCCTCTCTCTCTGTCTCTGTCTCTGCCCCTCTCTGTCTCTTCCCCACCCTCTCTCTCTGCCTCTCTCTCTCTGTCTCTCTCTCTTTCTCTCCCCCACCCTCTCTCTCTGTCTCTGTCTCTGCCTCTCTCTGTCTCTTCCCCACCCTCTCTCTCTGCCTCTCTCTCTCTCTCTCTGCCTCTCTCTCTCTCTTTCTCTTCCCCTCACCCCCCCTCTCTCTGTCTCTCTAATTTCCCCTTAATTTCTACTGCAACCAGTTGGCCTCCGTCAGCAGGGAGACTGAAGGCTGGAGCCAATGATGACTCTTGCATAAATTCCCTTGACCCGGTGCCTTGAGAGATAGTCCGGCTGAAACGAGTCATCGCAAGGGAGTCTTCCACAAATTGTAGCCATAGATACACGTAGGCCTCTGTCCCACCACCACCCATGCGCCCCGGGTGTTTTCGTCTCATGTATTCCTTCCTATTTGCTTTCAAATGGGGAAATAAAAACAGAGTTGGAGGGTTGTGTGTGTGTGTGTGTGTGTGTGTGTGTGTGTGTTTTGTTTTTAGGGATTCAATTTGTCCAGTTATGAGGGTGCTGCCGTAACCTCGTTGACGTTTTGTGTAAAGTTATGTGGATCATGTCTATATGTTTACTTCTGTCACGTTCTCCTCATAAGCTAAACAAATAGTCCATTATGAGTAAGTGAGTGAGTGAGTAAGAGAGACAGAGAGGGAGTGTGTGTGTGTATATATGTGTGTGTGTGAGACAGAGAAGGAGATGGAGTGGGGATTAAGGAGTGAGTGAGAAAAAGAGGGAGGGAGGACAGAGAGAGAAGGAGATGGAATGGAGGGAGGGAGGGAGAGGGAGAAGGAGAGAGAGAGAGAGAGAGGATTGAAGTACTATATACAGTGTGGTAACCTTGTCCTAGCTTGTGTATTTTGCACATGGCTGAAAACTTCAATAAACAGTTGATAATGATGTGTTCCCCAGCCAGTTTCTGGGAAATTAATATTATTTTAAAATGGGGAATTTAGAAGACAGATAGAAATTTACAAATAAACCCTTGGTGACTCAGGCTAAATAGACACAGGTTTCTGACAGGCAGCCTTAACTGTCAAAAAAGATGAACAATCTTTAGAGAAAGAATCAAGGAAAAGCTTTGACGGGAAAGAACCTGGGAACTTTCTATTGGCTTTAGGAGCAAATACTAAGGCTGAGCTGGGACTCAGAGGAGCTTTTTCCCCCCCTGAATTCTGGATTTAGCTCTCTAGCCTCCTCTAGCCCCTCCTTTATAACTCACTGAAGGAGCTAGATCTAAGGGTTCAAGTCGAGAATAAAACAGATCCTACAAGCTTGATGTCTGCCTAACCTGAGTTTAAGTCAACTTTTCTCAACCACGAGTATATACAGGTAGGCAGGTAGTCCTCAACGCACAAATTACAATGGAGCCCAACATTTCTGTCGTTAACCAAGACAGTTGTTGAAAGTTGAAATTCTTGACTTCAGGAAGCACAAAGAGGGCGAGGCAGGGGTAGGTAGATCGCCCAGGTGATTTGAACCATCTAAACTATTTCTTCCCAAGTGGTTGTCTTGTTGCCTTGGCCCCAGCATGGCTAATAAAATGTGTAATTTTAATTGTGCTTGTCAAGAAATAGGACTTACTGCATGTAAACAGAATTTCATTCATTGAATAAGCAGAAGCAAAGCCATTTTTTTGCTTTCTCTAAATAAATACACAACCAAAACAGTCAATTCGGGCTAATCCTCAAAAGCAGAGCCAGACTGAAGCCTGCTTTGTACTTAAGGGGAACAGTTCATCAAGAAATCCCAGGATTTTGATTAGATTGGCTTTTTCTTCCTAGCTTAATTTTTTTCAATAATAAGATGACAATCCTCGGGAAAAATTATCTCATATCGTCCTTTAAGCATACTGTGTTGTCTTTTTCCATGCATGACATCATTTAACACCCATTACATATGTTGCTTCTCTTCTAAATAATCATTTTATGTTTGTAGAAGCATATTGGATTGGTCATACTTTGGTATTTTGGGGGAAGGCTGCAGCCCCAAAGCATTTTGAAGCCCTGATGGCGCAGTGGTTAGAGTGCAGTATTGCAGGTTGACTCTTCCCACAGCCAGGAGTTCGATTCTGATCAGGCTCAAGGTTGACTCAGCCTTCCATCCTTCTGGGGTTGGTAAAATGAGGACCCAAATTGTTGCGGGGGCAATAGGCTGACTCTGTAAAACCCCTTAGAGAGGGCTGTAAAGCACCGTGAAGCGGTACATAAGTCTACGTGCTATTGCTAAAGAGCCATGGTGGCACATTGTTTAGAATGCAGTATTGCAGGCCAACTTTGCCCACTGCCAGGAGTTCGATCCTGACCAGCTCAAGGTTGACTCAGCCTTCCATCCTTTGGAGGTCAGTAAAATGAGGACCCAGATCATTGGGAGGCAAAATGTCGACTCTGTAAACTACTTAAGAGAGGGCTGCAAAGCACTATGGAGGGGTTTATAAGCCTAAGGCAGGGGTCAGCAACCGGCAGTTCTGGAGCCACATGCGGCTCTTTTGGCTCTCTGCTGCAGCTCCCTCTTGGCTGATCCCACGACTGGGTGGCCCCTTCCCTCCCCGTCACTTCTCGCCTGGCCTGAGAAGGTAAGGGTGATGGCAGCGGGATAGTGAACTCACTCCATATTCCAGAGCAGGAGGTGACTGGGTGGGAGTGAGCGATGTCGAGTTGGCCACGCCCACCCAGTCACACCGTATGGGAAGCGGGCCCAAATGGCTCTTTGAGTGTTTTAAGGTTGCGGACACCTGCCCTCTCCCCTCTTTGGAAGAGCTTTTTAGCTCCTGCTGCCTTAAAAAAGTTCAAAATATTCTCAAAAATCCACCTCATCCTGGGCACCCAACTATTACCATCTGGCAGATGGTACCGAATAATAAAAACAAGGACAAATAGGCTGAAAAACAGCTTCTGTCCCAGCTCTTTTGAATTCTGATGTACAGTGCAATATTAATGCAATATCAGGGGTTTTAAGTTCAATGTGTAGAGGGCGAAGGACGTGTGTTTGTGTGTTTTTTCTTTCATGCTCATGGTCATGATGTGCAATGAAGATGGTGTTTGATTTCGTTGCGATGACAATGAAGTAAAGTAAGCTAAACTAAGGGCAATTGCTATTAAGCAACTCAGGTTTTCAGCACTATCGCATCCAAACAGAAAAGATGCTAAGACAGTCGTGATTTCAACTCCGAGACCTGTTTTCATTCCTTTACATTGGGTTTATTGTGGCAGAGAGGAGGGCAATTTCCCAGTTCCTAAATAACTCCCCCATGTTTTCCTTTGTCAGATGGATTGTGCACGCGATGAAATACGAACTGAAAATCCGAGCAGGGGAGATGCCCCCCGTGGATTTATACCAGTTGTCACCCAGCGAAGTGAAGCAGCTTCTTCTGGATATCCTTCATCCACAGCAGCAAGGGAGGTAAGCCCGGTCTTTTGTGATTTTAAATCTGCGGGCGGGGGAAACAGAAGAAGGCACCAGATGAGCCCTATTTCCCGTTCCTCGTCTACACGAAAGTGGTTTGCTCTAGCATCAGTTTTTGTTAACTTCAGCTACCAGCGTCCATCACCTGTATTGGGACTTGCATCAGAGGTGGCGTTCAGCAGGTTCGGACTAGTCGCAGAAATTTTGAGTAGTTCAGAAAACCGGCAAATCCCACCTCTGACTGGCCCCGCCCCCATCTATTCTCTCCCATCTGATTGGCTGGGTCTTCTTTGGTTGCCCTGCGCAGGAGAACGGAACTGGAAAGCAGGTGAGTGGGCTGGGGAGGGAAGGGGGATTTTGCGGTATCCTTCCCCTGCCACGCCCACCAAGCCCACCTAAGCCACACCACTACCCCCACCAAATGATGTCCACAGAACCAGTAGTAAAAAATTTTTTTGAATCCCACCACTATTTGCATATCTACTTTGAGACCAGGCAGGGAGCCATCATAAGCCAAGACCGGATCTTTCAAAATACTGCATCCGGTTTTGGTTGCCATGCTATAAAAAAGATGTTGAGACTCTTGAAAGAATGCAGAGAAGAGCAACAAAGAGGATTGAGGGGCTGGAGGCTAGAATATATGAAGAACGATTGCAGGGACTGGGTAAGTCTAGTTTGATGAAAAGAAGGATTAGGGGAGACATGATATCAGTCTTCCAGTACTTGAGGGGCTGCCCCAAAGAAGAGGGAGTCAAGCTATTCTCCAAAGCAACTGAAGGCAGGACAAGAAGCAACCGGTGGAAAGTAACCAAGGAGAGAAGCAACTTAGAACTAAGGAGGAATTTCCTGACAGAACAATTCACCAGTGGAACAACTTGCCTCCAGAAGTTGTGGATCTCCAACACTGGAAGTGTTGGATATTCACAGACACCTAATCGGAGACTCATTATTAACTAATTGGAAGAAAATACGGAAAAAACACTATTTAAAAATACCAATTTGGATTTCAACAATGGAGGCGATGATTCACCCAAAGAATCTGGATATCATTAAAATGATTAAATATAAGGACCTATTGGATACACAAGGAAATTTGAAATCGCAGCAAGAACTTCAAGAACGGGGACTAAAAATTGATCAGTGGGCATATCTTCGAATTCAAAGTAGATATAAACAGGACAAGAAAGAATTTGGAATTAACAATAAACTCCAGCAATTAGATAAAATTTTATTAGGATCAGGCAAAAAAAATATAACAAAATTTTATAATTAGTTATTAGAATTAGAAGAAGAAATTGTAAAAGGGAACATGATAGCCTGGAGTAGGAATATAGGATGTAGCATCACCATAACAGAATAGGAAAAGGTCTGGGGTAGAAATAATAAAATTACAAAATCGGTAGCATACAAAGAAAACGGCCATAAAATGTTTTATAGATGGCACCTTCCTCCTTTGAGATTAGCGAAGATGTACCCCAATATGAGTCTGAATTGCTGGAAATGCAAAAAAAAAAAAAAAAAAGAGGGAACTTTTTTCCATATGTGGTGGTCCTGTACAGAAGCTCAAAAATATTGGCAGAAAATTAGAAATTGGCTGGAAGAAATGACAAGAGAACAGATTGAATTCAAACCAGAGTCCTTTCTATTAGGGATCTTTGATAAATAAATATCAAAAAAAGTGAAATATATTATAATACACATTTTGACAGTGGCCAGATTGGCTTTTGCACAATGTTGGAAGCAGCCTCATGTTCCATCAGAGATGATAGAAGACATTTACTGACATTTACTTCTATCCTCTCTTCCCTGTGGATGCCAACGATGCTTGTGGAATCATTATTAGCTTATCTGTTCCATTCATGTGCCACAAAACAAACTCATTGGAAACTGAGAATAATGCAAGTAGCCCTAGACTGACAACTGCAATTGAGCCCACCACTTAAGTTTTTTAAGAGAGACAATATCAGGGTTCCAAGTATTGCACCCATAGCAAACGAAACTCCAAGGCAGGTAGATTCCTTAAAGAATCTGTTAAGGGAACTTTACTCAATTTTACAACTTTTCTTGCCACCGTTGTTAAGTGAGTCACTGCAGCTGATAAGTTAGTAACCCAGTTGCTAAGTAATCGGGCTTCCCTGTCAACTTTGCTCGTCAGAAGATCCCAAAAGGGGATCCCATGATGTATCCCATGTTAATGCAAGAAGAATTAACTTACCAAGGGGTATTTTGTTCCTGAAGACCAGAGAACCTTCATTTATAATGAGAAAGATCGGAGGTGAGAATGGCTGGAGGAGCGAGAGTTCTCCCTCCGATGGAGGGTCCTGTCACCAATTCACAACTAGAGGCAGTAGTTGAGCTACTTACCAGCCACTTGTTTAGCTTAGTTACAAAGGCACTGCAAAAAAGGACTGGTGGCAATGGTTCATATTTATGATGGTTGCCATATCTCGGGGTCATGTGATCTCCATTTGCGACCTTGTGACAAAGCAAAGTCGATGAAGAAGCCAGATTCATTTAACAACTGTGGCCAATAACATGGGGCAAAACTTACTCAACAACAGTCTTGATTAGCAACAGAAATTTTGGGCTCCCTTGTAGTCGTAACTCGAGGACTACCCATATTCCTGCCAGCTCCACCCAGCTCTTGTTCCACATTCACGTCTCTTTTATACATTTCTCCCATCTGTGATTTGGTACCGAGAACGAAAATGAGGTCATCTCTCTTATATGCTAAAATCAGAACGTAGATTTTATTGGACTCTTTATCTTGGCACCTCGTTTTCTATTCCGTTTGAAGATTTGTGAATTTGAACGCCCCCTACAGAAAAGTGAGGCCGAACTTTTGCAAAACTTAAACTTTCTATCAACTGGGGATATTTTAAAGTTGCTAACGTTTTTGGCATCTACTGGGGGTAGAGGGGGGGAGCTCACTTTTTGTTCCTTCCTCAAACAACATCGTCTGTTGCAAATTTGATGCGGGTTTTTTGCAAAAAGTGCTGCTTTTAAAATAACTGAACATTTGGCGTGTAAAATTCACTGCCAAATACATTTATGTATATAAATGCGTGTCTGATACCGGCACCTGCTTCCGTCACCCCACCCCATCCGCCACATAAAGGGCATTACTTAATTTTCTATTTGCTACCAGCTCCTGCTATTATTGATAAAATTGAATGTGTGTGTGTGTGCGTGTGTGTGTGTTTTCTGCTGAGGAGGGTGAGAAGATGGTAAATGTCACACTTCTTTTTTTTTTTTCTCAGTCACTTTCAGTCCCTTGCTACTTAAGAAGATTGAATTCTTGAAGAAAACAGTCTAAGCCCTTATTTATCCTTAGAGCTTGGATTTCATTCTTCCAGCTTAGCATCCAATGATTCTGTTGCATGAATCAAAACACAGCCTGCTTGACAGCTAATCTAGGATAGCTTTTGCCCTAATTTTTTTTTTTAAAAAGTACAATGTCATTGGACCCCTGTTTTCAGGACAACTTTTTCTCGCATTATCTCTTTTGGCTCTGAAGCAGAGGTGATATTCAGCCGGTTCTGACCAGTTTTGGAAAACCATTAGTGGAAATTTTGAGTAGTTTGGAGAACCAGCAAAACCCACCTCTGATTGGCCCCGCCCCTGTCTATTCTCCGCCTCCCATTGAGTCCCAGCTGATTGGCTGGGTCTCCTTTTGTTGCCCTGCACAGGAGAACGGAGCTGGAAAGCAGGTTAGTAGGGTGGGAAGGGAATGGGGATTTTGCAGTAACCTTCCCCTGCCACGCCCACCAAGCCACGCCCACAGAACTGGTAGTAAAAAAATTTGAACCCCACCACTGGTCCAAAGCTATAATAAGTTCTTCAAAATGAAGAAATATGTTTTCATTCTCTGCTGTTTTCAGTTGTCCTCCATTTTAGGGTTTCTTCTTGTTGTTGTTGTGCCATATCCATCATCGAACATTGGCAATCATATTGGCAATCCTATTTTTATTAACAGCTGCACGAAAAAGAGATGCTGAGTTTTGTTCAAATTAGGGTTTTTAGCCATTCATACAAGACCCAGCAACAAAAGATATCTGTCCTTCCTTCCCATTATTTCTTGTCTCCTCTTGCCATTATTTCATAAAGTATTGCACTTATGTGATTAGGCACAAATATGTGCCTATGATTCTGAAGTGGCTGTTACACAGGGCAAGCAAAACAAAACTGCCGGTAACCCTGGGGAGGAAAGAGACAAATAACCCAAACTAGATTGCTGTCATTTCCATGGTGTGAAGAGAAGCCCATATATGAGTATAATAAAGAATAACAGAGTTGAAAAGGACCTTGGAGATTTCTGGTTCAACCACCCCACTCAAGCAGGAAACCGTATACCATTTCAGAGAAATAATTATCCAATTTCTTGTTAAAAACTTCCAGTGTTGGAGCTTGTACAACTTCCGGAGGCAAGTTGTTCCACTGGTTAATTGTTCTAACTGTCAGGAAATTCCTCCTTAGTTCTAAGTTGCTTCTCTCCTTGATGAGTTTCCACCCATTGCTTCTTGTCCTACCCTCAGGTGCTTTGGAGAATAGCTTGACTCCCTCTTCTTTGGGGCAGCCCCTGAGATATTGGAACATTGCTATAGGTTAACCTATAAGAATAGATTAACCTCCTCTTTATAACGAATAAAATTATTGGTTATGTTACATGGTACTGTTTTCAGTAGAAAGAGCAGATTTGAAGCCTTCTTAGATAAGCAGAATGTTAAAAGACACTGAGTCAGCCTATAGTAAGCTCACTTCACGTTTATATCAGATCCTGCACTACTGCGGTAAAGATTCTGTTGCAATGTATACTGCTTTCGTAAGCACTGTGTCATTTCAGAGGGTATATTAACCTATAACTTGTGTGCTTAGGGTCTCTTCTGCCTTCTTTTAGTGAAAAGGCTTGTGACCACTGTAGTTGTGCGTGCCAATAAATGAAGCTCTGTTGCATCAGTTTGCAAAAATACTCTGGACCCTGATTTGAGTACCTCAGATTTTGATGTGACATCATTTACATCAATTTACACCAGGTCCTTAATGGATGATTTAAAATGATGCCTATTATGTCCTTTGCTCAAATTCTGCCATTTTGGGCAAAAAATAAATAACCCCCAGCCTTTTTATATTCTCTTAATTCAGTGGGTTTCCTGAAGAACAGACATATCTTTTCCCCAATTTGCTATTTTAAAATGAGATTTCATCGTACACGTTCGCTAAACAGAACTTGTGACAGTAATTTCCTAAATAAATTATCCTTCTAAAGCTGGAAGGGCAATGGAAACTAAGATTAAAGTGCAGTTAAAAGCTGTGCTTTAATTTTCATGGCTTGACAAGAGTGTGAAAATGGAAAAAGCTAAGATAACTTTCAACTATTCAAAGCTTTGAATTCATTCATCAGATTAACTTTCAGTTGTGACCCAAAGAGATCAGTTTTGTTCCACTGCCTTTATTCTCTTAGATAAAGCAGTTTAATGCATCAAAAATCTTTATACCGTTCAGTAAATATTTTGTCTGCTAAAAACTGAGCATTTTGTATTAATTTTGGAAGGTTTTTTTTTACACACATCTCCACTCTTAATAGCTCAGGAGGCTTACAAAAGTGTAAGTAAAAGAGTAGAAACGGTTAAAACAAATATTTAAATGTTATTACAGCGACACAATTTTAAAGAATTGGAATGTTAAAAGAGATAAAACAATAAACATAGCCTGGGTAGGTTAAAAAAAAAGTCCTTAATGCCTTCTTGAATTGTAATATTAAACTAGACCTCTAAAAAATTAAAATAAGTACAGGTAGTCCTTGACTTACAACAGTTCATTCAATGATGATTCGAAGTTATAATGACACTGAAAAAAATGACTTGCCACCATTTTTCACCGTTACAACCTTTACAGCATCCCCATAGTCATGTGATCAAAATTCAGAGGCTTGGCATCTAGTTCATAAGTTATGACGGTTGCAGTGTCCTGGGGTCATGGAATTCCCATTTTTGCAATCTCCTGGCAAAGAATGTCAGTGAGGAAGCCACTTAACAACCGAGTTCCTTGCATATCATATCAAGAGCCTCAGTGGCACAGTGGTTAGAGTGCAGTACTGCAGACTACTTCTGCTGACTGCCAGCTGCCTGCAATTTGGCAGATAGACCCTCACCAGGCTCCAGGTGAACTCAGTCTTCCATCCTTCCGAGGTGGGTAAAATGAGGGCCCAGGTTGTTGGGGGCAAGAGGCTGACGCTGTAAACTGCTTAGAGAGGGCTGGAAAACACTGTGAAGCGGTATATAAGTCTAAGGGCCCTTCCTTCCTTCCTTCCTTCCTTCCTTCCTTCCTTCCTTCCTTCCTTCCTTCCTTCCTTCCTTCCTTCCTTCCATCCTTCCATCCATCCATCCATCCATCCATCCATCCATGGTGGCACAGTGGTTAAAATGAAGTATTGCAAGCTAGCTCTGCCCACAACCAGGAGTTCGATCCTGACTGCCTCCAGGTTGACTCAGCCTTCCATCCTTCTGAGGTAGGTAAAATAAGGACCCAGATTGATGGGGTCAAGAGGCCCTTCCTTCCTTCCTATCTACCTTCCTTCCTTCCTTCCTTCCTTCCTTCCTTCCTTCCTTCCTTCCTTCCTTCCTTCCTTCCTTCCTTCCTTCCATCCATTCATCCATCTATCCATCCATGGTGGCACAGTGGTTAAAATGAAGTATTGCTGGCTGACTCTGCCCACAACCAGGAGTTTGATCCTGACCGGCTCCAGGTTGACTTAACCTTCCATTCTTCCAAGGACAGTCAAATGAGGAGCCAGATTGTTGGGGGTAAGAGGCTGACTCTGTAAACTGCTTAGAGAGGGCTGTGAAGTACTGTGAAGTGGTATATAAGTCTAAGTGCTATTGCTATATCAACTGCAGTGATTCACTTAACAATGGTGGCAAGAAAGGTCATGAAGTGGGTCAAAGCTCACTTAACAAGAGAAATGTTGGGCTCCATTGTCTGTCATACGTTGAGGACTACCTTTATATCAAATATTTACCTGAAATGCACCATTCTGTAGAATGTTTTGCATCTCAGAGATTCGTGTTCACTTTGTCACTCCCTTTAAACAAAAGCCCAACAACCTGGTGTAATGACTCGTGCCTACATTATTTCAATTTGGAAACATCTGTTTTACTTAACTGGTGTTTTTCCCCTTGTAGATGCTGGTTGAACCGGCGTCAGATCGACGGCTCCCTGAACCGAACACCGAGTGGATTCTATGACAGGGTCTGGCAAATTTTGGAGAGGACGCCCAACGGGTTAATAGTAGCTGGGAATTTCTTGCCACAGGTAAAGCCACATCTGTGGGATTCAGACCATGTTTTCCCTTTGCAACCTTTTCCTTTTCTAGGAGTTGTAATTTCACTTTCTTGCTAACGGTGCGTGAGGGAGTTATTTTAAGGAAAGGCTGATCGGCCATCTGCCTTGGTGAGAAAGCTGAATTTGTAGCACACAGTGGTAAGGGTTGGGTGCCAAGCCTAACCAGCAATAAACGTCTATTACCTTTGATGTTGCTTAGTGCCACTAATGAAATTCACTTTAGATTCTCCATCTTCCTTTATTCCTGCAGCAACCGACTTTGTCTGACATGACAATGTATGAAATGAACTTTTCTCTCCTGGTTGAGGACATGTTGAGAAGCATAGATCGACCAGAGTTCAGGCAAATCATTGTAGAGGTTGGTATCATACAGTGCTAAGTAAATGAAATGATTTATCTGCTCATTCCTTTAAAAAGAAAAAAGAACTATTTGAGCAGTAAACGAATTTCAAGCGAATGTAATCTCAAATCTATAGGGGGTTCAACCCTCTGTCCTACCAACATCTTTGCTGGGAAAAATCTTAGCAGGTCTCCCGAAGCCAACATAACTACACAAAGACAATCTCTCTGTCGCTGTGTGATTCTTAAGACTATCTTTACTCCCAGTAATTCTATGGGTAGATCCGTGCAGTTTTCTTGGCAGAAAATCCCCTTTTTGGGGGATTTTTTTTCCAACTTCCACTTTAGGCTGGAGAAATGTTGTTTGAGTTACCCAGCTGGTTTCACACCTAAGGAAGAACCAGAACTTTTTTTTTTCATTTTGTAGAAAAGTTTAAATTGGGAAATTAAGAGGAAAAAAGAAGATGTGAAGAGGGAAAGAGAGAAGCCATTAGCTTACCTTTGTTGCCGTATTATTTCAAACCAGTAATAGTTCTATCATTATCTATACCTATCTTGATTTCCATTTCAACTGGAGTTTACAGACATGGCATGAATCAGAGGTTACGCAAAATGGATGCAACCACAGCATGTTCCTCAGGGGTAGGATTCAAAAATCCCAGCAACCGTTTCACTGCCCCGTTGCTGGGTGGGTGTGGCCATGGTGGGTGTGGCCTACTGGAACTTCCAAGAGAGCCATTTTTCACTTTCCCAAAGGTCCAAAGGCTTCCCCCGGGCCTCTGAGAGGGCAAAAATAGCCTCCCTCAGGCTCTGGAAACCATCCGGAAGCTGGAAATAGGCCGGTTCCGGACTTCCAGTACTTCCGGAAGGCCGTTTTTCCCCTCCCAGAGCCTCTGCATGGACTCTGTACTTACCTGCAATGAAAATGGGCCACGTGGAGACTTCTGGGAGGGTTGGGTGGGGCCATCCAGTTGCTTCAAATACCGGTTCAGTGAACCAGATGTCAATGTAACATCTGGTTCACCCGAACCAGTAGAATCCCATCCCTGATGTTCTTAGAACTATCCTTGATATCGTATATTTATAGTTGTTGTACCCTTAATGTACCAGTGTCAGAAGAGGAACCCACCGGTATGGATCATTGTTCACAAGTTAGAGATTCACGTGGATGAGATTCTGAACGGAACCTTGGAACAGGCATTCGTGTGAAGGAGTTTTTCATAAGCCCATTCTTAGTCCAAAGACTGGCTGAACCCGGCATATAGGGCAGACAAAGAATTAAAACACCTCCCTTGTTTTACACAGTGTATTAGCCCCATTGCAATCTTCTAAGGATGTTTTCACGTTACATTTTGAGAAATTGTATTTATTGCAGCCATCCCTAGAATTTAAAACGTTTACCATTTGAAAGGGCCAGCAAAACATAAGAACTACCATAGTAGTAGCAGTTGTAGGATACATCTTCTCAATTTGCTGCAGGGCGTCTCTGACATTTTCTTCTTCTTCTTCTCTCTTCTCTCCCTCCACCCCATTCCAGTTGTTGATGGTTGTTTCTGTGATTCTGGAAAGGAATCCCGAATTAGAGTTTCAGGATAAAGTCGACTTGGACAAACTGGTGAAAGAATCGTTTAACCAGTTCCAGAAAGATCAGAATCAATTCAAAGGCACTGAAAAACAAGTCAGTATCATCCTTATTCCCAAGTTTGTGCTTTGCACGATCTCCCACTGTCTCACTTTGTCTTTCTGGTTGATGCAAACGAAAATGTTGCTTTGATTGTGAAGCCTTCCATGTTTTCTTCTAGCGAACGGAAAAAGTCAGCTAAAATTCTAAACAACATCGCTTATTTACCTAATTGCTCACGGGAATTTGGCTTTTCTGTCTTGCTGTACAAGGAGCTCGAATGTTAAAGAATGACTGCTCCCTATTGAGAACACGAGGGAAGAAATATTTTGTTCCTTGTTATCGATTATAGATCTCTGTGCAGGCCCTGGTCACTGAATTATTCTCCCCATTCCTTTTTGGGGGGAGAATTCATTCCAGAAAGCAACTTTTGGCATTTTAATGCATGCACACACACACACACACACGAAGGCAACCATTGCCAAACAGCCATAGACCTCCCTGGTTTAAGAATCTCATCTGGACCCTACCTCTCCCCCGGCCCAAACCTTCCAAAGAACAAATTTGTGTTGCCACAAAAAATCCCTTTCCAGTTGTCCAAAGCCATCTAAAGACAACCTAAAGGCAACTGAAGTCTTAGCTGCAGATGCCCTTGATGGACAATCGCTCATAAATGTATCACCCTGTGTGACAGCTGTCAAATTGCACAGCTTGAAAGTCGGCTCATCCCACTGTTGTCTTCCTGTAGAGCAGTATCCTAAAACGACGGGAGCTTTCTCACACTCTTTCATGCGAAATGGATCTGCCTTTGAGTGTGCACCCTCCATACATTGGAGAAAACCTATGATGGGGCTGTGTAGTCCATGGCTCCACATGTATCCCAAAGCTCCTTGACGTTGGTGCTAGATGACATGAACCCTTGGTGTCTTGCAAAACTGGGTTTTCCAATTCTTCATTCCCACTTTCCACCTTTCCTGATGTTGTGTGTTCACCCCGCTTGTTGTCATCTTCCACCCCTGTTCATCTGCTCCTTCCTTCCTTCCTCCCTTTCTTTCCTCTGCTGCAAGGTTCCCCTCCCCCTCTTCTTCTCCAGCTTAGAAGAGCTCTTCCCCACCACCGGCACTCCAGAAAGCCAAGGATGCTTCAGCCCGCCCAGGGGGAGGAGGTGTTGTCATTGGAAGCAGGTGCAGCCACAATAGCATTTGCCCTTGCAGTGGGACAATCGCTCTGCACCAAACACAAATTGCAATTGACAAGCTCTCCCCAACACCAGGGACAGCGTGACTCACTGGTGGCCTAGAGGATGATGAATGGCTGCCTTGCCAGGGTAAATCTGTTCTTTACAGCAACATAAAATCTCTGACTCATGGTGTTTGGGACCATCATTTCCCTTGAATTCAACACAGATCTTTCCAAAAATGCCTGCAGGTATTTTTTTTGTTTGTTTCTGTTTCTGTTCTGTGATGGTTGTTCTTGTTATACACATCTTCCTTCCTGTGTTTCTCAGGGCGCCCCAATATTCCCCCTCCCACCCGATCCACTTTGGTCGAAATCCCAAATATTCTTTTAAAAAAAAATATTTAAGATAGAGAATATGGAAGGCTTGCTTTGTCCTGTCAATCACCCATCCCAACTGCATGTTTCTCTTTTTTTATATGTATATATATATATTATTTATTTCCTCTTTGCATACAATATGTGCTTAATGAACGGCAAACTGTCTGGGTCAATTTGTTTACATAGTACTATTTATTATGTTCCTAATTTCTACCTTTTTTTTATCCAGCCATTGGTAAAACAGGTCCCAAGTTTGAAAATATTCTGTGTCTTCTTTTATCTTCATCTTTCATCTGTCTATTTCTGCACAGTTCAATATTTTTTTAAATTATATCTTCTACTGTGAGTGCTTGCTCGCTTTTCTAATGTCGTGCAAATACAATTCTTGCTGCTGTTAAGACAGGCTGTTAAGATAGACATTCACTTGATCATATTTTTCTGGCATTATACCTAACAAAAATAATTCTGGGTTATAATCTATGTGCTGTCTTAACATTTTTTTTCTAACCAAGTATGCACTTTCGTCCATTTTCTTTTCTTTTTTGCTGCTTTTGGGCATGTCCACCACAGGTGATAATATGTGCCCAGTTTTGGATCGCATTTCCAACATTTGACAGACCTATTTTAAAACCATTTTTTGCTAGCCTTGCTGGTGGTAGGCGCCATCTGCATGATTCTTCTCGTTATTACCTAAGCCTGAACTTCTCCATCAACAGTTGTGACTCTGTCTGTTTGTGCAGGACGACATGACTTCCTTTTACAACACCCCACCACTGGGAAAAAGGGGGACGTGCAGCTATTTGACAAAAGCTGTGATGAATTTATTGCTGGAAGGCGAAGTGAAGCCTACTGCGGAAGACCCTTGTTCCATTAGCTAAAGTAGCTGGCGCAGAAGATGGTGGGAGCCAGGTGAATGCCATGAGTTCCTAGCTCTTGGCACGTGAAGCTTCATTTCTCATCATTGTTTGGACACTGTGATGCATAGTCATTAGGAAGAGCTCCATTGCTTAGAGCAACAATCTGTCCAGTTGGTTTCATGTAACAAAAAAAGCATATTTAATTAAGGGACATATTCCCCTTACAGCTCCTAGGTGGCAGTCAGTGATATCCATCTTGCCATCATGGCTATTTGTTGGCTAAGTAAATGCCTGATACTCTCCATATGTGTGCTGCTTGAGAATGACAGCTATTTAGAAGCAATAACGAAGCTCCCGTCTAGAGTTTAAGCCTCGCTTAAGGTGAATTGCAGCTTTATATTTATTCATCCAATCATGAATTAATGTAACCTTAATCATCCCTCCCCCCCACACACACTTACTTCCTTTGTCCTGGTGTTAGTTACTGACAAGCTTCCTTACGGAAATTGAATACGGTAAAGACGTCAGTTTTTTTAAAAAAAATAAGCGATCCACCATTGTGAAGCTGGAGGATTTTGGGACTCTGAAGAAATAAGGCTTATCTTTGGATTTGAGGGCATCGATAAAGCTTAAAAGTAAAATTAAAACTCTGCATTAAATACTCTTTTGGATTTGCCTGTAATGGGTTTCTGCGTTCTCGAGTTGAAAATTGGAAGCAAATGAGTATTTTTTTTTTTTTTAAAAGAAAATCTTGATTTATCCTTCAACCTAGCATAGAAGCCGCCCGGAGTCAACTTGTAGTATTGGTGGGCAGGATAGAAAGAGAGAGAGACAAAGGGAGAGAGAGAGAGGGAGAGGGAGGGAGGGAGAGAGAGAGAGAGAGAGAAAGAGAGAGAGAGAGAGAGAGAGAGAGATGTTTTAGGAGACATCATGCGTAATATTCTAGATTGAAAACAGATTCCATCTCAAAGGGGGAAGGAATCCATGTTCAAACATGTGATTTCTACTCACATTGACAGAGTAGCACAATGGAAAAGAATTTAGTTCCTTCCATATAAATAGATAAAACACATTGGTTCAATGGGGAAAGTCCCAGGTTCTAATCTTCTTCAGCATAGGCCCTCCTCACCATCTATCACCTATAATTTGAGATGGCTAGGAATTTTAGGAGTGCAAGAATTGGAGAGCCAGAGGTTATCCAAGTCTAGGTTCTGTGGGCAGTTTTCATAAATTAGACCTTCACATGGTGGATAATTAAACTCCAGAATTTAAAATGAAAAAACCAAAAAAAACCAAAACCAGATTAGAATCATTCCTGGAGGATCTGCTGCCTTCAGATTGGCCATTATGGGATAAAATACTGGGCTAAATAGACCTTTAATCAGAATCAAGATGGCTCTTACGCTCCTAAGATATCAACTTAAGGGCATCCAATCTGGGCAACTTTTAAGATTCATGGACTTCAACTCCCAGAATTCCACAGCCAGCCATGAAGTTCACAGGTCTTAAAAGTTGCCAAGATTGGACACCTATATATACTGTATATAGATGGTTTGCCATCTTGGCCAGCGTGGTCAATATCCATTTCATTGAAGTCTCCAAGAGGAATACCTCAAGGCACAGCTTCTCTTCATCTCCCATTCTTTCCAGAAACCTCCTCCAAGGAAGTTGGAGGTTCAACATGCAAGGAAGCAACAGCCAATCGCCAACCATCAATATACAAACCAACCAATAGGAAGGCACCACATAAATATGATGCATAGAATAACCCAAAGCACATATCGCAATAGAAGGACGTTCTCTGAGGATGAACTTCACCACAAATCTGAAAGCTCAGAAGACTAAATCTCTGGTCCTGGTGATGGATCCAGATTAGATCTTGCACCATTATCTCAGGACACATTCGCCTTTATTCACACAACCTTTTGTTCACAAGCCAGATTCTCTATTTCCAAGGTGCGGGTCTTCCCTCAGAATCCCATTTATAGCCTAACTTAACCCAGTTGAAGAATTCTTGCCGTTGTTGATTTTGTCTCTGTAAGGGAAGGATTCCTACTCATTGTAGTCTGAACAGAAAAAAAAAAAAACAGCAAGGTTGTGACTACCTCATCTGCAATTTCTGTGCACCAAGCTAATTATTCCCAAAGTAGATCTTTGGAGGGAGGATTTTGAGCAAAAGAAGCTAGTTAGAGCGGGCTGGCACTTTGCTGTTTTATGCGTTCAAAGAGCGACACCTGCTCTCATCTCTTCAGTGAGGAAATCCGCTCTTGATCAAATCCTCTGTGTATTTTTCTATCAGGACTGAGCCATGCACCTGACTTTGAACCCAAATATAAAGTTCAGGATTCATAAGGCAGAGGTAGCTTTGGCTTTCTCTAATCTCAAGAACATTCTAGAAAGATGATCGGGCTATATTGAAAAGGAAAAGCACACTGAAAATGAAGAAAGTAGTGGAAAGGAAAAAAAAAATTTTTTTTAAAAGAACAATAAAACACAATTTATATTTGGGCACCATGTATTTAGCAGTGTGGCTGGCAGTAGAAGTTCTCTGACCAAGCACTAAAGGTTTGATCTGTGTGATTAAGATTACATTCACTTCTTCAATGTTTAATTCGATCGCTTAACAATGGTCTACAGTAATGTCCGCCTGGCTTTTGTAAAAGTGGTATTTGATCTTATAAATGGCTTTGACTCCGAAGTCCTTATCGATAACTGAAATTGATAAGCAAGCTAAACTGCTCCATTGATGGTTGCAGAATGAATGAAAAATGGTTGCAGGAGGCCTGTAGTTTAATGAAAAGAAGGACTAAGGGTGACACGATAGCAGTGTTCCAATATTTGAGGGGCTGCACAAAGAAGAGGGAATCAAGCTATTCTCCAAAACATCTGAAGGCAGGACAAGAAGCAATGACAGGATGGAAGCTAATCAAGGAGAGAAGCAACCTAGAATCCAAGGAGAAATTTCCTGACAGAACAATTAATGAATAGAACGATTTGCCTCCAGAAGTTGTGAATGTTCCAACACTGGAGATTTTAAAGAAAAGATTGGACAACCACTTGTCTGAAGTAATATAGGTTTCCTGCTGGAGCAGGGGGTTGGACTAGAAGATCGCCAGGGTCCCTTCCAACCCTGTTATTGACTTTCAGTTTCTTGTGCCATGTTGGCTGGTTGGCGTGGCTCATTTGTTCTCCCTTCAATTACCTTGTTCATTAAAATAATTTTCAGATCTGTTAGGCGTATCCAAAAATAATTTTGGATTGTAGAATGCTTGGAGTGTGGCTATTAAGACAAATAATAAGTTGTCTGAGGTTTTTTTTTTTTCTCTCGTTTCCAGATAATTAAAAAGCTGCAGGAATGATGCTGTAAAAATTAACAGGACATGGCCATTTGCTTAACAAAACATGAGAACCCTAAGATCTTAACTTCCCAGCCGTGAAATTTGTAGATTTCTGTATCATGCACCCATCGTTTGTTCATTGAACGTAGCAGTCAAAAAAGCATTTTAAAAAAAGAAAGATTTTCAACAGCTTATAAGGATCTGAGGCGTGGAAATTAAGAGAGAAAGAGAGAGAGAAAGAGAGAGAGAGAGGGAGGGAGGGAGAAAGGGAGAAAGGGAAAGAGAGAGAAAAACCCTCTATTTACCAAAGGACCACCGTGTTTTAAAAACTCAGATTTCAAATATGACAGGAAGGGGAACTTTATAACATAGTTTCTCCCAATTGTATAGACTGCATTGCTGCATAGTTTGATCCAACGCCAGACAATTCTGGTTTCCTCTAAATATTTTGGATGGTAAGAATTCTGGGAGTTGAAGTCCACAAGACTTAAAAATTGCCAAAGTTGGAGGATTCAGAAGTGCATGGAGAATGACTAGACAACAAAAGCTGGAGAACAGGATTCTGGGCAGCTCGATTCTCACCAGGCTCAAGGTTGACTCAGCCTTTCATCCTCCCAAGGTGGGTAAAATGAGAAGCCAGATTTTTTTTTGGGGGGGGGGAGCAATATGCTAGCTCTGTAAACCTCTTAGAGAGGGCTGTAAAGCCCTGTAAAGCGGTATATAAGTCTAAGTGCTAGTGCTATCCAGTGATTTTTCACCATTAAGGATGTTAATGTGCGCGTCTCCACCAGTGAAGCTCAGCTTTGTCAGCACTAGAATTAGCTCTCCCCTATTCCGAGAGGGCGTGTAGAGGGAAGGGCTTTAATCTTTTTTGATACTTGTGCAACACAGGCAGAAAAGTGGCTTTTGCAGAATGGCAGCTTGTGGAGGCAGCTCCTTACCTCCATGACAAATGAAGGATGTACCGGCGTTGGCTGAAGTTCTCGCGGGCTGAATTGCTGACCCAGACGCTCCACTGATCTCGATTACGGCCATCTATTTCTTCCAGCTTTTTTGTACGATTGCCTCGTCGGCATATTTTTGCCCATTTCAAACTAAGGATGCCTATGAAGTGGGATTTCAAATGGGATCTGTATATGCATACAGCCCAGAATTGTTCATCTATCCCACAAATCTACCTCCTTTTTCTCTGGTGGTGTTAAATCGGGTGTCACGCTCAATTTCATTGAGGGCTGCATCAGTGTTGTGTTTCAGCTTGGATGCCCAGGTGGGCGTGGCCAGGTTGACTCGTGTTGGGGGCTCCTGTGCTCTGCCAGCAAAAACAGGCTCCCGAGCTCCGTTTTCAGCCACCAAGGCCACCTGCAACCCTTTGCCAGCGAAAACAGAACTCCTCCCAAGCACCGTTTTCACTGGCAGAGGCACCGTGGGCCAGTCCTTCACTGTTTCCAAGGTGGCCCCGTGGGCCAGATCAAAGCAGCCCCTGGGCCTTGAGTTTGACACCCCTGGTGTAAATTGTTACGGGTGGGCTGTTCTTGATTTCTTTTTCTCCCCATTCAAAAGTCAATTTCACTTTTGCTACATGTAGGTCTCAAATGGCCACCCTGTTTCGTGTGAAGCCACGGAGCTATCTTAAAGCCAACTCATCCCTGGTCCGGGAGCATTTTGCCAAAAGTGTGAGAACTCCATAGTGTTAGGAGAATCCTACTTTTATTTCTACATTTGTTTATTTGGAATGGGACTTAAGAGTGGTACACGCACACACCTTCATGATTCTCATCCAAATGGTCTCTATCTGCCCTCAGCAATTCATGTTCTTCCCAACATGCTACCTTAGCCAAGTTGAGTGGTAGATGCTTGCAGGATTCCATTACTGTAACCTTGCAATAAAGGTAGCGCTGGTGGACGTGGTTCTACTTCTTGTCTAGACTCTCGTGTAGGGCTGACCTCAATCTTGCCCATTGGAAAGCAGCACTCCTCCCCTCCTTTACTTTGACTTTCGAGAAGATCAGTTATTGTCCTCTGTCTGGTTATTGAATTAGGATCAAAACACTCAGGTTCATGGATGCTTATAAAGTTACCCTGGGCCAATTTATTACCTTGACTCGATCTCCATCTAGGTGGTGGTCATGAATTAAATCGAAGGAGGAAGTTGTGCTATTTCTGCACCTTGATGTTCTGGAGGAAAAACAGGAA